CCCCTGATTCTCTTTGCCATTCAATTTTATCATCATATTGTCTTATAGGGTAGTTCCCAACACTCGGCTTGCATATCAAGTTTTGGTAGGTTTGATCCAAATTATGTGAAGGGGTTCAAAGGTCAACAGGAAGGAATCCTACCTCAGGAAATGAAAGATGTCACAGAAATCAATGGAGATGTTTTATGGAAATTAATGAAGGTTTGTTTCTATTTCATTTCTTCGAATTTCAGTGTTTGAGAGGGTGCTCTTAACATTACTAAGAATAAATTTCCTTGGTCTCCGAGTGAATGCTCTTTGCTTTGAGCAAATGCCCTCCAAAACAAAAATTGTAGGATTGTCAATAGTCTGAGGATTGGGTTAAAACAATTGATATTCCCAAAGCAAAGTCTTATAACCTCTATTGAAGAGTTCGAAAACATAGCATGCACTCTGTATGGATTGTGACAGAATTGTCAGTTTGGGGCCGCAATGGAACTTTTTAATATACAGGGTGTCCAAAAACGTTTGTTTGGCACATGCAAACCTCCTTTGGCACATGCAAACCTTTGATAGACTGTTAAGAACACTCAGAAAGCATTTACCACATTTGGGCTGCTCTAAAGCAATGGTTCCCAACTGCCAAACTGCCAGCACTTGAGTGAGATATCACTTTATGTTTTTCTTATAACGTTCTAAATACTGCCAATTGTTACGTCCTTATCACAGTTTAAGCATGTGTGTATATTCGTAACAATTTTTTCTACAGTATCTTAATTTATACTTACCCATATCAGCTCCTTGCGCTCCCTTCTCCCGGCCCGCGAATATCCTTTCGCTTCCAATTTTGGCCCTCAGTCAATCAACTTTGATAACCACTGCTTTGAGCTTAATTTGTCTATCAAAAATTCTCATTACAGGTAATCAGCCACGAGACTTGTCACGTATTTGGGATTTCTCATTGCAATGTGTTCGAATGTCTGATGAACGCCAGCTCATCTACTGGTGAAGCATTAACACAACCTTTGCAGCTATGTCCACTTTGTTTAAGTAAACTTCAACATCTGCAAATAACTTTGAGGACTTTTGCCAAACGGGATGAAGTCGGCGTAAGTGTATTTTTGAGATAAAATTGCTTAGAAGGGTCACAACTTAGAAGTAAAGGATTTCTATCTGGGTTAAGTTATGGACAATCACTCAGAGATAAAAGAGACTCATCTCGGAGCAAAGTTATGGATACTCACTAATAAGTAAGTTTATGGACACTTACTCAGAAATAAAAAAGACTCATCTCTGAGTAGAGTCAGTGGTGATCACTCAGAAGTAAATGGGACCCATCTCTGAATGAAGTTATGGGCACTCACTCAGAGGTAAAGGAGACTCATCTGTGAGTAAAGTTACGGACACTCACTCCGAAGTAAAGGAGACTCATCTCTGAATGAAGTTATGGGCACTCACTCAGAAGTAAAGGAGACTCATCTGTGAGTAAAGTAACGGACACTCACTCCGAAGTAAAGGAGACTCATCTCTGAATGAAGTTATGGGCACTCACTCAGAAGTAAAGGAGACTCATCTCTGAATGAAGTTATGGGCACACACTCAGAGAAGTAAAGTAGACTCATCTCTGAGTAAAGTTATGGGCACTCACTCAGAAGTAAAGGAGACTCATTTGTGAGTAAAGTTATGGGCGCTCATTCAGAAGTAAAGGAGACTCATCTGTGAGTAAAGTTACGAGCACTCACTCAGAAGTAAAGAAGACTCATCTGTGAGTAAAGTTACGGGCACTCACTCAGAAGTAAAGGAGACTCATCCCTGAGTAAAGTTACGGGCACTCACTCAGAAGTAAAGGAGACTCATCTTCGAGCAAAGTAATGGGCACTCACTCAGAGAAGTAAAGTAGACTCATCTTTGAGTAAAGTTATGGGTACTCACTCAGAAGTAAAGGAGGCTCATCTGTGAGTAAAGTTATGGGCACTCACTCAGAGAAGTAAAGTAGACTCATCTCTGAGTGAAGCTACAGACGCTCACTTATAAATAAAGAAGAATCCTGTCTACGCAACATTACAGATCGTAAGAGCTAATGAAATTATATGGATTAATCGTGGTGCATTACACTGATTATTCTCAAAGCAAGTTCACACTCCCGCACTGTGTAGGTGGACGTGGACTGTTTGTGTTAGCTAAGTGAATATATCTCCTGCCCATAGGTTTCAGTCTCTTAACACAACTTGATGTAAAGTAGGCGAACAAAATTAGTTACCTCCATATTGTTACACACACTTCTGGAGCGTCCATCTGGGAGCAAAATTACAGGAAACCTCTGAAATACCATTGTGTAGCAGTATATGTTGGTTGCCATGAATGTCGAGCAGCTCAATTTAACACCATCAGATGGATTAGTATTGTTTGTATATATAGGGTGTCCATAAAATCTTAAAATATTTTAAAACTGCAAAGCGTATATATCGATAGCATATATTGTTTTGGCCCTCACAGATGTATTAAATGAAGTAAAAATACTTAACAATTACTGATTAAAAAAACAAACCTAGTTAAGATATATTGAGAACTGACTTCATAACAAAATTGAAATTGTAACAAGACTTTATGAACACCCTGTATGTCGAGTATGTCGAGTAGGGGTATCGCATTCCTAAACAAGATTGTACAAATATTGCAGGCTTTTATGTAAAACTAAATTGTTTTCACAGGTCCGTGGTCATTTCTCATCTTTGTTAAATTTTCTTCAAACGACCTCTGACCCTGAGACTTCTCCAGACCTCACAAATCAAAAAATACAAGACACCATCGGGTGGTTGAAAAATATGATCGAATACTTGGATTCATAAGTTTATATTCAGTTTTTAAGTTTCTAATTAATTTGACTCCAACGCCAAAAAAACATTCAAACCTTGTGTGGGAAATTATGCATTAGATCAGTGGCTCTCAACCTTTTATGGCTTCCAGAGGGTTTCAGCACTTTGACCCCCTGTCTATCGATCCAGGAGTATTGATAGTGGTATTATGATTGGTAGATTCTAAATCCCATTATGTTCAAGCAAGTCATGCTTGTGAACACACCAAATAACCTTATAAAGAAATGAAACTAGGAAGTACAAGAGTTTTCTTGTAAAGTGAAAAGTAAAATCAGTTTTCTCCTAGCATTGTGGCCCCCTTAAACTGCCCTGTGCCCCCCCCCCTCCCTCCTGGTTGGGAACCGTTGCATTATACGATTGCTGGACTATTCACCAGTATTATATTGGAGTTAGGAACGTACTTGTCATTATTTCATCTCTGATAACCTTATGCTTCGGTTCGCAAGTTAGAATTCTGTTCGGGATAATTATGTGGAAGAGGATTGCTGTTCCTTTCTTGTTGACTTTTATGGCTTCGTCCACCATCTGATATGAATGATTATCAAGACTGGTAACGGGATAAGAGGCGCCATAAAATTGAAGCAGTTGTTCCCAAACTGCATTCATGACCAATGTAACGATTTAATAAGGGCCAGCCGAGCTCCTAAATAGTTTAATACTTTATCATTATCAAAGTTCAAGCATGTGTATATTCGTAACACGTCAATTATACCGGTAGGCGGTATCTTAATTATACATACCGGCTCCTCCCATCCACCGGCCCGTGAATTCAATTATATCGATATTTTAATTAAGCGTACTGGTACTGGACCCTTGTGGTCTCCCCTCTCCTGGTCCACAAATATCCTTCCGCTTCTAATTTTGGCCCCCCTGCTGTCTCCCGGGATGAATATAAAAATCTAGAAGGTTGTGTATGTAGTACTTGTATGTTTTATTACCCTTCAGTACATGTATCCCACAATCTTACTTTCTGCTTTTGGGCAATATGCAACATCTTATTATAATATGCAATTTTTTAATAAAGAGAATATTTTCGTAATACTGACTGCTTTAATGTGGGAAGATCGGTGTTGAGATTCAGGTTGTTGACATGAACCTGAATGTTGCGATAGTCAGCAAAGCTGTTGTTGTATTGAACGTTACGCGACCATAGCCAAGTTAAATGTGTACGTAGGCTTACGCTTACGTAGGCGTTTTCTGGAAGAGGCGAGTTTGATACAAAAGATAAACCTTGAAATTTTGAAAGCCAGCAGCAGTAACTATAGAAGTAATATGTATCTCGGTCATAAGATCCGCATAAATAATGTTTAGTTGAGGCTTCGCCCACTATCCTTGCCTAACCAATTGACTGGGGACATGGCTAAAATGGTCGGATCACTTAAAGGAGGCTGTGTTTAGAGATTTAAACTTGAATGTTCGGTGCTTCAATATGGAGGTAACTAATTTTGTTCGCCTACTACAACATCAAGTTGTGTCAAGGGATGGAATCGGAATAGAATTATGCACGAACCTGGTACACACATTACAGGAGTACTGATCGCTCTCCCCATTTTCTTTGTGTGCAACCCTGACACAAGCAAAAGAATGCTTTATAGCTCGAAAGCTAGACGACCAAAATATCACAATATTTTTTTATTGAAATCATTTATGTGGCCAGCGATAAGGTAACAAAAACAAACAAAATAGCACACACTGGCTAGAAAAAGTCCAAACAAGGGCCAAAAGTAGATATATGGCCATGATTGCCAACCTCTAAACATGAGGTGAGCTTTTTTGATGATCGCTAAAGCATTTGCATATAGCAGTTTTAATCTGCAGAATGGGGGTTGTTACTTGTTATTTCAAAAAGTGGCATGAAAATCTTATAAGTAGTTGTTCATTTATATAAATAAAGCCAGTATATTCAGAATTTTGAAATCTAACAGTATTCAGCAAACTTACCATCAAAAAGTGCAACCAGTCAAAATTAGGAAAATTCATTTCATACTTAACAGTTGATTTGAGACTGGTGTCTTGCAAAATGCTTTTATCACAATCCTGATCAACAAGGTAAATAAATGTGTTTTCCTAAAACAGCTGATATTTTTATATCCACTGCACTCTAAATTATGTGAAACCAGTCAGAACTCAATTGGCATGATTTTATAAAAAGTTTAATCACAAGTTTGTGTCCATAAATTAGCCATCTTGCTTTTCGTCAAGAGTCCGGCTTGTAATACGTTCTACATCTTTCATAAAAAGCCTTCTCCGCTCGTTCCCAGACAATTTCTTCTACATTGAGTTCTTGTTGGAAGAGACGAAGCTATAATATGAAAGGTTTGACATAAGAACTTAGAAAAGTAATCGGCAGATTTGGATTTTTATATTTGTCCCGAAGTACAGGAAAGATGATAAGCAAACCACAGCCTTTCATCTGGTTACCAGATCATGTCAGGCATGGGATTAGTTAACCAGTTATTTTGTTTTCAGATGCATGGACTTGATGGCTCGTAGGTTAAAGATTTTGTATGATATTGAACTTTTTTTTAATTATTACTAAAATCATGAGAGTCATTAGTCACACACACAAATGAGATCAAAGCATATATATTATTGAAAAAGATTTTATATAATATGGTTGTTAATTAAGAATAGATTTTGATATCCTGTTCGTTTAGACATCTCTGGTGTAACCCTTGACCTTATAGCCACGTACACAGCAAAAACAGAAACTTACATTTCCTTGTTCTTTCCTTAAATTCTTTGATATTTTATAATTCTCCGGATCTTTATCTCTTTGCTGCTTCAAATTTTTTGCTTTGTCAGCTGTTTCTTGGATACATGCTGTGATGTCATTTATTCTGCCAGAGTGGCCAGTTCTCATCTGAGAATAACATAGGTTTTATGTATACATACCATACATGGACTAGAAAACACACAAGTAGCTGCACTTTGCTATTCAGTATAGGATTTCATATTTATACGAAGGAGGGTAATAAGATAATATGGCTTGATTATACGGCACACCACAGTAAGCTCAAATTAAAAGTCCATGTCAGGTATGAGTTTAGTTAGCCAGATTTATATCTCTTGAGTTGACATAATTATCCCTCAACTGGATTTGAACTTCCAAACCATACAGGTAGTCAGATACACGAGGACACAACATATTTCCAATGACTAGCCCGGTACACCGACCGACAAGGACTGGCATAAATTCTTGCTTAAAATACCAACATTGAACACAACATACCGTGTGATATAAATCTTTGCATTGTGAAGTGAAATTGACTTTTCCTGCAAATTCTTCTTTTGGAAATAATGAGTTTAGTTCATGAATGATTCTGTCATCAGTTTGTCGCCTTTCCTTCAATTTTTCCTGAAAAATGGTTCAGATTTTGTTTTTGCTAATCAGTACTTCACAAAGATAGATAACAATAATGAAAATGATAAGGGTTCAAATCCCATGTAGGGTTAATTATGTGCAAGAGAATTGCCTGAATTCAGTCAGTAGTTTATTTTATCACAAACCGAATGTAAACATTGACGAACAAAATTAAGAAAAATAAAAAATTACATTTCAGTGTGAAGGGAGACGCGATAACCAGAGATGGTTATCGAGCAGCGTCACCTATGAGGGAGTGAATCTAATATTAAATCATAATGAGAAAGGAGTCAAACATAAAATACTAACAAAAGCCAGACTTGAGACGCCGTTAAGCGACCCGGTAACCCGGATAATTAACGAAAGAAAGCAACTCCAGACACGACAGGCCGCGGTCGCCATGGGGACCGCAGATCATTGAACAACCAACCAAGAGTGTCGGTGGTTATTTGCGTCGCCGTAGAATGGTTCACATGAACTGGGGGTCGTAACCCGGGATAAATATGTAATTTCCATCCTATTTCCAGTTTATGTCTCTTTTCTAGGTAAGTTCACAAGCACTCACTGCGTAGGTCACAAGCAAAACCACTGAAATGCCAGGAACTACTGGAATTATGAAGCATTGCACACATCTACAAGAAGTAAAGAGTGCTCATCTGGGCAAGTGCAGTTTTAAGTATTCTGTGGCGTCTGCAGATGCCGCAAAACCATGGCGGTATTCCCATACCATGGCCGCTACAGCCAAACCTATGGCGACTGACTTTTTAGCTGCCACAAACCAATGTCGAGCTGCCGTTACCCCGGCAGCAAATTGAAAACCAATGGCAGGTAAAATTTTGCTGCCGTAACCATGGCAGGTGGGCCGTAAAGACTTATGGTGACAAATATTGGGTAAGTTGGAACGTTTTTCTTATGGATACAGTTTTGATGGATTTGGGGTTAGGGTTTAAGTAGATATAATTCCACATGATCAATTAAAATCTGGTACATTCATTTGTGAATATACAGTTAATACTGAATAGCGCTATAAAACCATGGCAAGAGCTGCCGCGGTTCGTTCGTGGCAGGAGCTGCCATGAAGTGATAAGAACTGCGCCTCCATCTGGAGCAAAATACATGATGAGTTCAACTAAAAATATATATTTTGATTCTTCGCAAGTCGAGTGCAATCCCATCATCTCACTACAGGTGTGAACATTACTGAAATTGATTATTCCGAAAATAGGGTGCAAGTCCACTAAACACAGAAACACGTTCCCTTTAAAATAATATGGCGGGCACCAGGTAATCCGAACAGAACATGCGATTATGCGAAGGACCAGTGCCAAGAGAGATGATTGGAATTGAGAAACACTGTCACAATTCGGCTCAAATGTTAATAATTAATGCACTAACGATGGTTGACACGGAATGCAGTGATGGTTGTGGAATGGCCTGAAAATTGTATGCCAGTTTCTTGCACATGTTCAGAGCGAAAAGAGTGAATCAGCTAGCCCCAAATGAAAAAATTCCTTTGGATAGACTCAAGTCTCCCAACACTGATCATATGGCAGCCCTTTGATTATCAGTTTAGTAGGTTCATTCCTTCATTAAATTGAAATATTTTAGGCTGTTCCTGGTTAATTTACTTTAAGAATTGTGTAATCCCGTCCTATTTTTTATTTTAGAAAGTTGAAGTAGTCTAGTATTACGGAGCATAGAAATCCCAACACTATTATACATAGTTATAATTCTCATAACTTTGCAATGGAGCTTACCATAAAAAGTTGAATATCCGCACATGGCACTCCACTCGGCGCCGCCATCTTTCAAGGAATAACTCGACCTCTGCGTGACTACGCTGTTACCGTACGTGCAAAGCGTCTATCGGCAGATCCACGACAGTCAAAAAAATCGTAAATCACAACACTGCACGGCGGAGAAGTTAGGTATATCTGTATATAGGCTATATATTTGTACCACTACAAAATTTAATTTTGAAAACTACAAAGCACACAGTATAGAAATAATAGGTAAAGACGACACACAATCTAGAGCAGGGGGCACCAACCTTTTCGAGGTCGAGGGCTACTTTCTGGGTACAGATCAAGCTGCGGGCTACCAGTTCAATGTACACTTCTAAAAAGTCAGTTTGCTCGATTAAGCTTCTAATATTGATAATTACTGGTATTTAGTCAAGTAGACCACTGATAAACTTTAGGATTCCTCAGGAAATCAAACGATTATAACAAGTATCAAATAAATTTCTATCGATAACACTTCCATTCCAAAACTGAATGTTTCCAAATTGATTTTAAAGTGATCACAACTATAATATCCTAGGAAACCACAATGTACCTGGATTATTTACAAACACTCTGCCAAGTCTAAGATAAAAATGTAATTAACAGTTGTACTATCAAATGTTGCAGAGTGTTGTACTCCGACGTGTAACTTCACCATACGACTCAAACTTCAAAATGTTTGCTTATTTTTCGTCTTCAAGTATCATATTATCCTTCTTTATCAAAAATAAACACTGAAACTTATTTATTGGACGCGAAATGGGCCAATGAGTCGTTTTGTAAATATGTTTTTATTTTTCTTCCTAGTATTCTCCTTGTTGCTGTATTTTTGTTTTAAAAAAAAATTCCTTTCTCTTCAACAATTGGACCAACGATCTTTTTGCACTATGTGGCGGTTCCACGATCGCATTTCAACGATCTAGTGGTCAGCGAAGTCGGGAGATTTTTGATAAGGTAGACCAGGGTGGTCCAAACCCTGTCATGCTGGTACATTCCGTGCGGCCCACAGAACAATTTTAGCGTATATTTGTATCTAGTAGCAGAGCGTTTTTGAGTTTGAGTTTTGAATCCCGAGATTCAAACCCTTTTTTCTAATGCTTTGTGCCTAATTTAAGTAAAAACACTCCTCTGTTTTCAAGCGGTACGGCGGTGTGGCGCATCGGCTCGGCGGTGTGGCGCATCGGCTCGGCGGTGTGCGCATCGTGCTAAGCGTTAGGAATACGCTCGCCACCGCATCTCTGCGAGAGACCGTGGTTCGCCATATGATAAAGCCTGCGTATCGGCTTTCCTCTCCTCCGGGATAAATATGTGAAATCCTATCCTAAGCGTGGGCCATGTGACAGTAGGGACGAAACGCACAGCCGATTCAACGCCGTGCAATCCAGTTTTTCCAGACGGACTTGGTGGTTACTTGACGATGGCACTAAGCTTGCTCACATTGCAAGTTTTTGAATCGCACAAATATAATATTTCGTAACAAAATGATTGTCACAAGAAAAGTGGCATAAGGAAAACACGGCAGAAACGTATTTCCTTGTCCATCACACAGTGTCTGATTTGATTTCAAGTAATATCTGTCACGAAAGAATATAATTTGAAGCGACATCAAGCGAGAGATGCGAAAAATACAACGTTAATTTTAGGGAATTAATTTTTAAATAACTGATATATATCTTCTATCTAACTTTATATATCTTCTTTAAAAGAACGCCACCCATGCAACATAATAATGGTCTGATTAGAACGGTAATCTCTCGTGGTTTATTAAATTAAAAGTAAGTAGTGGTTTATTAAATTAAAAGTAACATGCGATATTTCGATCACTTTTGGGTTTTCTCCGACTTGCGGCCCGCGAGACCTCCTCAAAAGTTTTTGCGGTCCTTCAACCTAGCAACCTTGAACCACCCTGAGGACTGAGGTAGACTACTAGGTACCGGTAAAATTGCAAAATACAGTTGTGACTTGTATCCTTTGGTATTCCGATTCACGTTGAGACTGGAGGCATGAATCTTTATTGTCACTGTCCTTCAGGATTAGAGCTCAACCGTTATATTGGCCCGATGTTGTGTGTTTGCCGATATATCATATCGGCAACAAACGGCCGATATATATATCGGCTATATATAACAGTTGAAAAATCTAAAAATGTTGAGACTGGAGGCATGAATCTTTATTGTCACTGTCCTTCAGGATTAGAGCTCAACCGTTATATTGGCCCGATGTTGTGTGTTTGCCGATATATCATATCGGCAACAAACGGCCGATATATATATCGGCTATATATAACAGTTGAAAAATCTAAAAATGTTCGTAAAAGTTGTTTTATTTACTGTTGGTTGTGATTATTTTTAATGGTTAATACACTTATGTGGTTTATTGTTTTTATAAATAAATTACACATAAGGGGGCACCAAAGTCTTCAGTGCTTAGTGCACCAAAGGGGCATAATCAGCCCCTGCCCTTACCCCTTAAGGTCGGGTCATAAAGCGATTCTCTGGGGCCATCAGAAAACCCACGCAGAGTAATCAGAGGTGCGGTGGCGAGCGTATTCCAAACGCTTAGCACGATGAGCCACACCGCCGCGCCGAGATCAAGAAAGTTTGATGACCACTGGTTTGAAACAGAAAAAATTACATTCAGTCGTGCACTAATAATATGTAATAAATGTGATGACAACGAGGCCATTTTAATTGATGATATTATATGATTTGAACTATGAAATATTTTGAAGATTTATTCTTTTGGAATTACCATGTTCCATTTTAACCCGATTCATTAATTCGGTATTAGGCTACTATAAGAATAAATTGAACATACGCTTTTCACAAATATATTGCTTTGGTTGTGAGTGACAACTACGTTTTAATTTGAGTCCTAAAGAATTTTTTGTTCGTTAGCAATGGACCTTTTCTCGACCTTTAACCCCCGGGAAATTTTTATCATACTTTATTATTGTAGATTTTTCGGGGATTATTTTAAGAATAGTTTCGCGAGTTGGCGCCTGTAAAATGGGGTCTTTGTTTTAAACCATCATTCTGATTCATAACATTCAACAATCTGTTTTTTTAAAGTACCAGTAAATAATCTCAGCCTAATCTATCACAGCTATTTCTGCACTAGTTTTTGATTACTGCAGTTAACCTGAAACTTCTAGGAATACAAAGTGATCATTGACATATTTGATTTATATTTAAATGTTTGAGACACAACTGAAAACTAACGAATAGAATTTAAAAATGCGAAAACGAGGCATTGTTTACGACTACGCTTGAAAATCTGTCTGAGCGAGAAAAGTGTCTAAGCGGATGCGTTGTTACGTCACTTTTTGCATTTTGCTGATTGGCCAATGTGACGAAGTAAACAAGGAAGTCGATGCTTGGGGATAAAAATAGTGCCTAATATTTTTTATTTTAAAAAACCTTCACATTCCCCGTAGACTTTGGGTTGTTTTGAGTTAGAATTGGCGCTTCAAGTTGGTCTGTTTAAATGCATTTGATAAGATTTTACCAAACTAGGATTTGAATCTAGGTGCAACAGATAATAAACCAAATAGTCTGAAACGACAAGAAATGATATTTTTGAAAGAAATAATCCGAAACCACAGCGTGGCATTTTCCCGCCCACTAGCGATTACTTCAAATCGCCTTTTCAAATATGTGGTGGTAGGATTCATATTACCATTAACTTGAAAACATTGATATTCTTGATTAAAATATTTTATTAAATGCATTTTAATGATAAATCAATTTTATTAAATATTTTAGATTTATTCAATTTGAATAAATGCATTTTGTTCACATTTCACTATCAACTTTTTTTTTAAAAAAATTGGACTCCGGCCACCACTATTGTCTACGTTTGTAAAATCAAAATGACATTTGTTCGTTTGTTGATGTTTTTGTTTGATTGTCCTCGTTGTAAAACGCCGGTCCTGGGAGAATTACTATTTTCGTTCTATTCGTTTTAAGGTTTTACGCGCGTCGGTAATATATTTAAAACGTTTTAAATCTATGCATTTACAAAAAATACGAGGAAGAAGGGTAATTTCATACATGTAAGCGTAATTTTACCCGTATAGCGACCGTATTGCAGTATTGTGAAAAGGAAGAGCGTTTCATTTCAGCATTTCCTTTTCCGGAATTTTTATCTATCATCGCATTCAAGCATTGTACAGCTGTTTTGTTCAGCTGAAATTGCGCGCGGTACCGGTACGATTAGTTTATGCATTACCGGTATTTTGTTGTTTGATTGCTTATAGCCTAATCTTTTTGCATACCGGTACCGTAAAACCGGCTAACTTCGGATGATTTCACTATATTTTGAACAATATCTCCGCCGCATGTTGTTCAACTGAAGCCAAATTTGGAATATAATACATTGTGGCTATTCTCGTCTTGATAAAGTCGGTTCCATATCCATCAAAGCCTTTTTTCATTGAAATTATTGTCTTTATTCGTCTATTCTGAAATTATCTAACTTCGGATGGCCACTTTTCTCTTTGCGTCAACTCGTCGTGAGAGAGAAATGTCTGCGTAAGCAATGACGCGTGACAACGTCGCTGAATAGACCTTACGCCGCCACGACCTGTCTTGCGTGTTGAATACTGACGTTTGTACGTGACGTTACTACGTGACGTTACTCTTGCCGCTTCGCGAAGCTTAACTATTTATTCTTGTGTCCTTTATTATAACTCGTATATATTTCACTAACTACTCCTAATTTATTGCAAAATGCTAGTTCGTTCTTTTATGATCGTTTATTTTCAATGCAAGAAAAGGATTAACAAAAAAAAAAACGGAAGAATTGAAAGTACCTAACACTGGTGTAGGTTGAAATTGAAATGCAATATCGAACAAGTAAAGAATGAACAAAAATTAGACAATTAAAAATAAACGGATGAATCGAATGAAACACTGGCAAAAGTAAAAATTGAAATCAAAAAGCAATATGGAACAAGTAAGGTATAAACAAAAAATCGACAGTTAAAAATAAACAGATGAATTGAAGGAAACGCTGGCAAAATCAAGAATTGTAATCATTTCCACATGGGTTAGACGGGTCTTTGCAACAGTTCTTGTGGAACCAATGTGTTTCGCTGCAGCTTTCGCAACCGAACCATTCATCCTCAATTTCCGTACTTCCATTTGGATCATTCCATAATCCACAAGC